TCTCGCCATCTTTCTAACTTCATTCTCCATCTCTCTTCTCCGTGTGTTTTTTGGCCTTCTATTATGCAAGAACATTCTAGTTAAGCTGTTCTCATGGTTTCTCAATGTGTGTCCTATCCAGCGCCAGCGTCTTTTCCTCAACTCTTGGTCCAGTGGAGCTTGCTACATTAGTTATTCTATCATACCATTTAAATCACTCTATTCTGAGCAGACACCAGTTAAAGAATGTCTGTAGTTTATTAGTAATTGCCTTAGAGGCTCTCCATTTTTCCGCCCATTTCAAAAGTACTGATTTGACATTAAAATTTAAATTTTAAGTTTAGTATTTCTTTTAATTTCTTTTGACCTCCACAAATTCCCTAGTGCTATGAAAGCTCCTCTTGCCTTTTGTATTCTTATTTTATTATCTCTATCAGTTCCTCCATATTTATCTACGTTACTGGCCAAATAGATGTACGACACCAGGTCTTGGAGTGGGGTGCCGTTAAGAGAAACCACATTTCTATTTGCCTGATTTTTCTCATTATCTTTGTCTTTCCTTTATGGATTTTCACACCTATCTGCTGTGATCTCGCATCAAGTGTAATTTATTTATCTTGCATCTGATTCTGGGAATGGGACTGAGGATAAATATCATCAGCGAAGTCCAGATCATCGAGCTGTTTTGTAGGGGTCCACTAATTTTTTTTTTTTTTTTTCATCGAACACCGGCTGTGAATTCCAGTGGAAGGTCCCGGTTAATCGTCCGCTTGGACTTTTGGCTTTCACCTGGACCTGATTTTTGCGTGTACAACCGTTTATTTATTTCCCTGCCTCTTGGGCAGCTGTACGCCGACTTCGAAGGAAGACGTCAGGCCTATTTCTAGGGTGACTGTGGCCATTGTTTTGTGTGGGTCGAGACTTTGCCTGATTTGTGTGGTGTCCGCCTTGTCTCCTTCGCCGCAGGTATTGCCCCCGGAGTACCCCTTTGGGGCAGCCCCCTGTGGAACAGTTGGCCCTCAAGGGAAGGCAGGGGCAGATCATGGGCATTCCCCGCCATCCAAGGAGGCTTCCATGCATGCAGAGCCGGCACATGGCGCTCTGGTTCTGGGCTCGCCCAAGGAATCGTCACGTCCTGCACATGCCTGCTTAACCTCACAACCGTATCAGGCCTCCCGCTCGCTGCGCCCTCTGGAAGTCAGCGGGGAGCAGCCCGTGGGTTTTGGACTTTTGTGACCACACAGATAGGTACATTAGCCCGACAGAATTTCACATCCTGAATCAGGCATATCGTTATCAGTTTTGTCCCAACACTCGGGCGAGTGGGGTCTTTGGGTGTGGACATTCGGCCTTTTTCAGTTCAGTGCAAATTTTGATGGTCAGATTTTGATCCGTATGATCTAGTTTTGTCGGACATTTAGGCTTAGCCATCCGATGGATGGTTGCTGTTGTGGTGTACCACAGCGCGGTGACGACGACACTGAGGGTTTAACCGAGGATGTACGTGACTGGCCAGCCTATGGATGGTTGCTGTTGTGGTGCACCTCAGCGCGGTGACGACGACACTGAGGGCCAACCGAGGATGCACAAGGATGGCCAGCCCATGTATGGTTGCTGTTGTGGTGCACCTCAGCGCGGTGACGACGACACTGAGAATTAACCGAGGATGAGCATTGAGCAATGTTCTCTTTACTCAGCAGTCTTTTAACCAAGGGTTGTAATTTTAGCTGTACTTTTGTCAAACCTACTCATGTTTCTGGTGAGTTTTTGATAACATTTTTCACCCAAGCATCTGGGGCGGGCTGATGAGAGCCACAAGGACACATCACCTCTGGGGGCCGCCAAACTCCGAGATCCCCTGACAGCTCTGTTAATGCTCATTTGAGACATTATCCGTGGCGCACGACGAGGACGTGCTGTAGGGGTCTTGCGTGAGGTTCCGTACAACCAGGATAGTAAAGGACTGGCGCCCGAGTGACGTACGGAGTATCTCCTTATACACATCATGTTGGACTTAACTTCCCCTCACGCCTGTGACATAAATCACCGCGCCACGGTCCACTAATGAACATACCAGACCTAAAACAGGTGGTAACGAACCGCCAGACATGGAAAGCTATGTCGTCTGCCCTATGCGCAGCAGAGGCCCAAGAGAAAAGACTAACTCATGTAAAGTATTTTCTGGACTGACTCTATTGAACTTCTGCTGCAGTCAAGTCTTCATTTGCCGCTGCTGCTCCCTGGTTTTAAAAAAGAAATCTTGCCTGGGCCTAATGTAATGATACTTCGTAACCTCCAGGGGTTCTCTTACTGTCGCTGCTGCTGCTACTACTACTACTACAGTAAACCGGCTACCGGCCACATTGAATACCACGACACAACCGCTGCACACACAAAAAGGCACTGCACTTGAGAAACACAGCTTACAGGGCAGCACCAAGCACTAAACTCAGTAGCTCAGGCAGCGAAACCGTAGACAACTTCCGTCCATACATGAAAACTGCATTAGCAAAGCGCTGTCAGACGTTTAAAAAAAAACATGGACGCTTAACATTCTGCCATGTCTAATTCTCCATTTTAGACCAGTGAACATAATAAGCCATGTGAATGATGTAATACTTACACAAAGCAAAGAAGAAGATAAACACGCTGATACCAGAAGCTCGGTCTCTTGGCTCTACCATTCTGTGGGTTAGAAACATCATTTATCTTCTAGCATGCTTATGGGTAATTAATTGTGAGCATGTCTTGGATTTTCTGTCCATGATATTCTGGTTTGCGAGGTAACGAGCAGGCTGATAAATTATATACTGCAGCTTCCCTTGGCGGAGAGCTCCCTTATGATCAGGCGGACGTGGTTAAGGCTTTCTTGGATCACACGGACAGTGCAATACATTTAAAGACTAATTCAACGGGGTGGGGAAAGGGGAGGTGGGAGTAGAGGTTCGGGTAGATGTTCAATATTGAGGCGGGAAACAAGGATGACTTGAAACCAGGTTACAGCGATACAATTAGCACCTCGATTCGTCCTCGGCAACTGAAGAAACGAACAGAGCACGTGTGGGAATTTCCCCACTGAAGACTTTTTTTTCCGCTGGAGAAAAAAAAAAGATGCGGATACTCGTCCCAAATTTTCTAAAAATTTCCTGGTACTCATACACGGCGTGTGGGGCCTAGGCGTTGCGAACGCGCTTCGTAATGGCGTGGGTGCCCGGTTCGATCCCTGCTGCGAACGTTTTGTTTTGCGCTGGTTTCAACAGTGGTAACGAGAGCTGACCGTTCAGGAGGCAATGGCAAACTATTGAACGTAAAGTTTGCTTTGAAAAACCAGAACAACCAATAAATGCTGGGCTTGGTTCTGCAACGTCCTGCAAAGGATTCGCAACTAACTAACTAACTCAACACACAGTGTCTTTCACAGCAGCGCTGAAGAACAAACGTTACCTCCTAAGAAGGTATCCCTGGTTTACACCATTGCGTACGACCCAGAAAAAAAAAAAAGCCCCCGGTAATAACTTGATCTGAGTAATTATTCCGAAGAGGCAATGTGTGTTAAATCATCCTAATTCCATAACACTGAGTGTCTTGGGTCGCCAGCTGCTTTTGAAATTCTACATCAACATCGTATCGACCGCCTTTACCTCCCAGAATGTTACCTGGAACCCGTTCAAGGTTGGGTCGACCATGACTTCCCATGACATTACTGGGTACCATATTGAGAGTAAAGTGGAGACGATCGACTGTGTGCATAGAGTTTTCACTCATTTATCTAGGTTTCTCTCAGCAGAAAATCTAGCCATCTGCCGAGGACGTCACACAAAGTACTAACTCCTTAGCTTCGGTGACGACTACCAGAGATCTTCGTGAAAATTGCACTTATGAACTGTACGACGCAGCCGCGAAACGAATCTATGACTTTCAGAGTGAGGGGCAAACGTCCTGCCATATCATCAGAGCGTCCTTGGTGCTTTTACTGTTAAATAATATGTTATGTTATCACAGTCGACGTTCCTGCACATTAGGCATTCCCATGCGTGCTCAGTCCTCTGATGCAGCAGCCACTCCAAGGTGGAGTGGACTAATTGCTCCGTTTAGAGGTTGGTTGTAATGTCTCCGATCTCGGCCTCGAAGGCGGTATAGACGTGCTTCACCATGCTTTATTCCAGGGTCACGCAATCGTTTTAGTGTTCGGAGATCCGCGATTATCCATTAGCCCAGTCCACATAGCGTTGATGGTGTCTGCTTTGTCCGTGCTTCTTACCACAAGTTAGTCGGCTCCCTAATTCATTTTACACTAGCATGACCAGCTGTGCATTGGCGACAAGGTCACCCATTGACTCGCCGGTAGACGACTTTGTCGCCGTTCTTGACAGTATTTGGGTTCTCTTTTGATAGCATCAACGTTGCAAGAGTTCTTTTCAGAGCTATTTGGTGGCGAGCAATGTTAAACCATTTTATATGGCACACATTGCCTAGTCACAATTATAACCTAAAGCTCCCCCTTCGGGGATGTTGGTTGAACGCAAAGCTACCACCACCAATTGTGTAGATCAAGGTGAGAAAGGTTAAGTGCGATTTTCAAATGCTTCCTATCCACTCAGAGCCTGTAGTAAATCTTCAGTTGAGTATGATAGAATTACTGAATGTATGGCTCCTCGTTCTACCGCCCATGCTGATAAACGTTAATAATTCTTTTCCCCGCCGTCGGTTTTTTTTGGGCATATAGGGCTAGACTTTCATTTTATAGAGCAGTCGGCACTCGGTTTGTAATGTAGTCAACAACACGCCGGTAGGCTTTAGTTTCCAGGACTTTAGCTGGTACCCATTTAAGGCTAAACCGACCTAGAAGCAAAGGTCTTTTTTTTTGAAGAAAAAAAAAGTCCGCCCCCGGAAACAATTTATGAACCCATGACCTTGGCATCTGCAGGTGATCGTCTAGCCGCTACATTTCGGCGGCTTCCGCCCATGTTAGTGATGATCTAACTCAAACCGAAGACAAGAGGAGGACATTATTTCTCGAATCATTCAAGAATGAACAGTTGTGTATTCATGAGTACCTGATGAATCAGTAGAGCTCTAGGAACTACAGCCACCTGACTGACCAGCGTCAGCAAGGACAGGACGACGGCGTAACCAATGTATTCATTGAAGCAGCCTGCGTCACACATCATAGACCTGGCGCCCAACCCATGGTCCGGACTCGATAAGTGAGTGCAGTTTTCAAAGTTCTGGGAGATAAATATATGATAACGTAAACTGAGCATTAATCTAGCAGGTTTGATAATGGAGTGCAGTTTTTAAGGTTCTGGTAGATAAATATATAATAAGGTATACTTAACATTAGTCTAGCAGGTTCAATAAGGTAGTGCAGTTTTCAAACATCTGGTAGATAAAACTATGATAACGTATACTTAACATTAGTCTAGTGGGTTCAATAAGGTAGTGCAGTTTTCAAACTTCTGGTAGATAAAACTATGATAACGTATACTTAACATTAGTCTAGTGGGTTCAATAAGGTAGTGCAGTTTTCAAACATCTGGTAGATAAAACTATGATAACGTATACTTAACATTAGTCTAGTGGGTTCAATAAGGTAGTGCAGTTTTCAAACTTCTGGTAGATAAAACTATGATAACGTAAACTTAACATTAGTCTAGCAGGTTCAATAAGGTAGTGCAGTTTTCAAACTTCTGGTAGATAAAACTATGATAACGTAAACTTAACATTAGTCTAGCAGGTTCAATAAGGTAGTGCAGTTTTCAAACTTCTGGTAGATAAATATATGATAACGTAAAGGTAACATTAAATTAACAGGTTCAATCAGTGAGTGTAGTTTTCAAAGCTCTGGTAGATAAATAGTCCACGCCGTATAGAGTTGCTAGTCATGTCATTCGACAAACTTTTGTCTCGTGTACTCTCAACCAGTTCTGGCATAAATGATCCTACACGTCATGATATCATACTCCAACATTTTCTCTCTCAGTCTTCTTCTGCCTCTCTTCCCCTCCCTTTTTCCTACCGTCACGATGTACTCCAGTTTTCTCGTCCACACGACATGATTAAAGAATGTAGATTGTCTCTTTCTGATTGTAGTAATTAGTTCTCTACGTGAGACAGCTTTTTTGAAGACATCTTCATTACTTTTTTTTTAATCTGTCCAGTCTCATCATTCGTCTATAAATTCCCATCTCTGCCGCTTCAAAACTGTCCTTTTTTTCAGGAACAGATATAAGGGGTAAATGTATTGAAAGAACTCACAGAGACAACATGTTACCAGCGTCACAAGTTGTCAATATATATTCTTTAGATCAGTGGTCTTCAACTTTTGTTTATGTGGTGCCCCTTGAGTATATGTGGCAAGATCCCTATGTCCCACTCCCCCGCCCACTGCCCCCAAACATAACAAACTGTGATTGAAAAGAGAACCCAAAAAAAAATATATCAAATATTGTTACCGAGAATTTGAAGAAAAACAGGCAGATAATTTAAAATGGCACTTAGCACCCCAAAAAAAAAAAAAAAAACTGTCTCCAGTAACTGATAATTTAGTGTCCAAATGTCAGTGTGATCGTTGACACTGTTTTGTCTTTACTGTGTCTTTTTTTTAGGGGGGGGGGGGGGGGGTGAATGTGTGTGTCATACAGTTTTTTGTTATTTGAAGCCACATGGGCCGCAATATTGTCTAATGGCTGAACGCGGTTTCCGGGACCTCTCCACGGTTGATCCTCATCCACATGATGGCACTTTGTGTCATCGGATGTTTATCGCTTGTGTGATGTCCTGGCGGGATGAAGGTACAACTACTAAAGTTTTTTTGTTTTGTTTTTGTTTTACTGTTTTTGGGCAAGGCATAACTGAGATCACTATCTATATCGAGATGACAGCGCTGTTTGGTTTTCATAACTGTTCAAGCTGACAATCCAGATTAATACGAGTATAAATGAACTCAATTTCAAAACCGTTAGACGCCCCCATACGCCGCCCCCCTCCCTCCCTACCCCCCCCCCCCCCTCCCGCCCCACCCCACCTTTTTTTAACTTCCTCACGCTCCCCTAGATGGAGCGTCCAGCCAGGTTAAAGATCACAATTTACATTTTTTTTAGATATTCTATATTCTTTAGATAATTTATATTCTATAGATATTCTATATTCTTTAAATATTCCATATCCTTTAGATATTCTATATTCTTTAAATATTCCATATCCCTTAGATATTCTATATTCTTTAAATATTTAATATTTTTTAGATTTTATATACTCTTTAGATATTCTATATTCTTTAGATATTCTATATTCTTCAGAAATTCTATATTCCCTAGATATTTTATAACCTTTAGATTTCTATATTCTTTAGATATTCCTTTCCTAAAGCGGTTTAATCTTATTAATAAAGCAGGCCATGTTCTTATAATAATATGCATGTAATGAATATCCAGGAGACAAAAGTGCAAAAGCATGGACATACACACGCCCACCTACTCACTGCCTCCCTTACACACACACACACACACCCACCCACACACACACACAAACTCACATACATACACACATACATACATACACACACACATACACACACTACACACACATACACATTCACACATACACACATACACACACATACACACATACAGACAGACAGACATCCACACACACAGGCACAAACTCAGGAGAGAGAGAAAGACAGAGATAGGGAGAGAGAGGTATGTTAAAGGGATGTCTGGGTTATCGTGGATAATTTTTAGGCGTTCTAGTTTTACTGTCAAATAATAAAAACACAACAACGTAAAACAGACACACACAAAACTGTAATTGACACGACTTACAAAACCATCTCCTGCATGGCACCCAGCGAAGCACGGGGAGTAGTAACTGCGCATGTCGTCTCCACACGTGGGAAGAGCATACGCTGGACTGCAGTGACATTCATCGGTCACGTTTGGCAAGGGTACGCCGCTGTGTACAAAGAATATAGGAGTCGACCATTCGCCCTGCCCATCATACCCACAAATGAAAAAAGTTTTTGCAGTCTTTCTTTGTCAGCTGAGACGAGAAAGATAATTCTTTAAAGCTAAATAAATTATATTCTGGTGTACGGAAGTGAATCATGGACAGTTGGTAGATAAGTGAAAAATTATTTGAAAGCTGCGGACATGTGGTCTTTTAGACGAATGGTGAGAATTCTCTGGACAGATAAAAAGGGTAATGAAGATGTCTTAAAAGAAACGGGCTCACGAAAAGAACTGATTTGAAAATCTACATTCTTTGATCATCTGATGAGAAGGAGAAAACTGGAATACACTATGAAGTAGGAAAAGTTGGACGGTAGGAGAGTCAGAGGATGCGTCAAATGTACAAGTCGACGTTTAGAGCTAGCACCAACGGCTCTCTATCACAACTGAAGGTCTGTCGTCGACAAAGAGTAAACTCGATATAGGGCACAATTATTTTAGAATTCGATTAGGAAAGTAGGTTCTCCTTTGAATCAACCCCCAAAATGGCGGCTTTAATATGATGGCGTTCGAAAGAGAGCTAAATTGGCCAATTGCTTGCCATAAAATATCCAAAAATATCCGAATGGGGCTCAGTTCTATTAAAAATATATGTGCCGGCTCCAGATAACGAAACAAACGCTCTGACAGGGTCTCGGCGATACGTTACTTGCCGACCTGCTTCTGCCAGTGTGCCTCACCGCCGAGCGTATCCCCCGCGCCGCGGATGGGGACTAAACTAGATGGCTGGGACTCACGAGCGGCAGCTACCGCATCTCCTGCAACTTCCTCCAATTACTGTACTCGTGAGTTCCAGGTACCTAGCTTAGCTCGGCGAAGAGTTTAATCGCGTTTGGCGCGTGCCGACATGTCTGACATCTACCGCTGCTAAGTCCTCTAATCGGAAGAACACAGTATTGCTAATCGGCTTTCATCGTCTGTAATGTCTCGAAATTGGTCAACGGTCGCTAATATCGTCTGCTAGTATCGTCTGCAGAAACGCTCGAAATTGAAAACGGTCGGTATTTATCTTCTGCTACTACCGTGTGCAAATGTTGATATTGATTGTCAAATAATCCTAGTTTTGCCGCGATTTGTTCCTTGGCAGAAAGTCCGTATTTTAGATATAGACGAACACCGTCGTTCGGATATTATTTGGATATTTTATGGCCAGAATGTGGCCATGCCGCCATTTTGGGGGTTGATTCAAAGTAGTGCGGAAAGTAAGTTTGGTAAAGGGTAAAGGATAACTCTGTTTAAAACAAGTATGAGTACGTTTGGCAAAGAGCGACAATGTATGAAGAAAGTGTGACAAGAGTTGCCTTCGCTTGAAGTGACAATAAAGATACGAGTAAGTTTGGCTGAGAGACCTTCTAGTAAACAGAGACTACCTAACAAGGTAGTAAACACAGATAAAGTGTGGATACATGGATGGATGGATGGATACACTTAAAGAAAGATCGATAGACAGACAAATAGAAATTATACAAATGGATGGTTAGCCGCGTGTATAGACAGGCATGGAGACAGACAGACAGACAGACAGACAGACAGACAGACAGACAGACAGACAGACAGACAGACAGACAGACAGACAGACAGACAGACAGACAGACAGACAGACAGACAGACAGACAGACAGACAGACAGACAGACAGACGGACAGACAGCAGACGGCGGGCGGGCTGACAGACAGACAGACAGACAGACAGACAGACAGACACAGACAGACAGACAGACAGACAGACAGACAGGCAGGCAGGCACAGCAGGCAGGCAGGCAGGCAGGCAGACAGACAGACAGCCAGGCAGACAGACAGACAGGACAGACAGACAGAGGCAGGCAGGCAGGCAGACAGAGACAGACAGACAGACAGACAGACAGACAGACGGAGACAGACAGACAGACAGACAGACAGACAGACAGACAGACAGACAGACAGACAGACAGACAGACAGACAGACGGACGGACGGACGGGACGGGCGGGCGGGCGGGCGGCAGCGGACAGCGGACGGACGGACAGACGGACAGACAGACAGACAGACAGACAGACAGACAGACACGGGCGGACAGACAGACAGACAGACAGACAGACAGACAGACAGACAGACAGACAGACAGACAGACAGACAGACAGACAGACAGACAGACAGACAGACAGACAGACAGACAGACAGACAGACAGACAGACAGACAGACAGACAGACAGACAGACAGACAGACAGACAGACAGACAGACAGACAGACAGACAGATGGGCGGACAGACAGACATATAGATAGATAGATAAACAGACTGATGGATAGATGGACCTCCTAGCAATAAATTCATGAAATCATATAATTAAAATGAGACCCCATTGTAACGAAATGCAATATTTTTTTTTTAATAAAAGAGTATCAACATTAGTAGAAGCAGGAACAAAAGTAGTATTAGCAGCAACAGTCGTTGTAGTAGTCGTTGTAGTAGCCGCAGAAGCAGCAGCTTTAGTAGCTACAGCAACATAGTAGTTGTTATTGTGGCAGTAGGAGTAAAAGCAGTAGTACGAATAGCTGTATTATAACTGTAGTGACAGTAGCAACTGCAGTAACAGCAACATTAGTAGTTGTTATTGTTGCAGTAGGAGTAAAAGCAGTTGTACGAATAGCTCTATTATAACGGTGGCGACAGTAGCAACTGCAGTGAGAGCAACAGTAGTAGTTCTTATTGTTGCAGTAGGAGTAAAAGCAGTTGTACGAATAGCTCTATTATAACGGTAGCGACAGTAGCAACAGCAGAAACAGCAGAAACAGCAACATCAGTATCAGTACTTACTATTTGCCATCGTAGCCGTATAAGCCCTGGTTATCACATCCCAGAGCGAAGTAGATGGGGGCGATGAGACTGCACAACCCGAAGCTGATAAAAATGGTTAGAGCATAACCTTTCAAGGATCTGATCTTCCAGCAAATCCCTGCCCCTAGGATGACTCCCAGGATGTTGGCAACAGACTGTCCCATACCTAAAAGATGGTAATATGGAACATTACATCACGTTATGTTACCGATTTTACTCGTGTATAGGCCGCAGTATGCATATATGTGTGTTGTCCATCAAGATGAAGATGACCACTCTTTTTCATCAAGTATGAGTACGAAGATGACCGATGAGGCCGATGCGGGCCCGAAAAGTACTTGGACAGTGAGGACAGGGAATGAGCGTTGTGCTAGGAAGAGGATCTCCTGCAGTCGCCTTTCTGTCCATCCTTTTCTTAATAAGTCTTGCTGTTCTGTTTGCTTTACATGTAGCCGCGCCCATATATAGAGCCAGTTTTAACATAAGGCTGTCAAGCCTTGAAAATTAATAAACAAACCGAACAATATATTGAGGCCGCGGAGATGTGGTTTTTGCAGAAGAAACATTATAACTCCTTGGGCAGCTAAGAAAAGCAGCACAGATGTTTTGAAAGAGGCGAATGCTCGAAGACAATTTATCACTAAAATCAGAAAGATACAGTCATCATTTTTGTTCATGTTATGAGAAGATGGAAAATGGAACATGTTGTGACCACTGGAAAGATCTGTGGAAAGAGAGACGGAGGAAGACAACGTGAGAAGATTCTTAACAGGTTTTTTTGTGTGTGGAGGTGGGGGTCATGGCATGGAGGGGTGATAACACAGGAACTGATACACACAGTAGCCGATAGCAGATGATGCCATAGAAATTATTCAAGCGGCGGACGATTGTCTAGCGTGGGTCTCAACAGTGGTACCGACAACTGACCATGCAAAGGCAACAATGGCAAACTACTGAACGTAATATTCGCTAGAAAAACCACAGCAGTCAACAAATGTTGGGGTTGGTTCTGCAACGTCCTGTAAAAGATACGCAACTTACCTTTTTTTTTAATTATAAATTTCAAAGACAGTATAAGCCTGCTTCTCTCCGTGTATTGTACTCTACATAGTATTGTCTGGATTTTTTCACCGGGAAACGCCGGTGTGTTGGGAAATGAACAGGCAGAACAGACTGGCTGGCTCTGCACAACTTGGTGGAATACTGATACATGATAAGGCAGAGACGTGGTTAGTGCCTTGTGGGAGAGCGTGTACAGTTCGGAGGAGCAGATGGGTCACAATAGTCTGGTGAGATTGATACAGCGGGGAGTGACGAGAGGTTCTGGCAGATGCTCGAGGCTAAGAGGAAAGGCAAGACGGACGTTTAATCAGAAAGCTACTGGCACCATTAGTATCGGAACTCTTCGCTGGCTGCTGAAGATGGGCACGGAGCGCTTATGGGAATGCCCCGAGTAGTGTGATGTCAGTTCTTAAATTAAATCAAATCTACATTTATTTAGAGCGTTGATTCGAAACGCGTTGGTGTCGCAGACTTCTTCTTCAGTGGCGTTACTTCTCGTAGAGTATTCAGTATATCAGCAGTATCCACAGCAGTAACAAACCACACCAGTATCGCGGTAGACTTCTTCGATGGCGTTACTTCTCGTAGAGTATTCAGTATGTCAGCAGTATCCACAGCAGTAACAAACAACACCAGTATCGCGGTAGACTTCTTCGATGGCGTTACTTCTCGTAGAGTATTCAGTATATCAGCAGTTTCCACAGCAGTAACAAACCACGCCAGGTTCAACAATAACAACGTCAACAATAACAGCATTAAAAAAGTAAGGAAATGCATAAAGAAGACACAAACTGTAGACTGCACAGTTTGCTGCCTGGCAGATTTCGCTCTTTCCCGTCAGGTGCATACTACAGTAACAATTGATTAAAATAAAGCAAATAAATGAATCCTCGGAACTGAAACACAAAATCGACTACATTCACAGACTGTCTGTTTAACGAGGGTAGCCACAAGGGGACGAGTATGTCCTTTTGTCTGCATAATTCTGGACTGAAGTAAAAATAACGATCGAACTACTAAAAAAAATGGTGCCAAGAACAATATCAATAGTAACATCAATAGTAGCGACAACAGCATCAGTAACAGACAAAACCTACTTGCCGCGGCGATGTCTGTCTGCGTGAGACTGAACTCAAAGATCTGATACTGTGGACGGAAGAGTTCGGACCCCTTCAGTGGTATTGCCAACAGGGCGGCCTCGATCATTATCAGCGTGAACACCGGGTTTTTGAGGATTCTGTAAACCTGCATAGGGAAGTCTGACAAACAAACATACACATGAGACTGACTGACTGACTTTCTACCCCACCAGGACATCACACAAGCGATAAACACCCGATGACACAAAGTGCCACCATGCGGATGAGGATCACCGTGGAGAGGTCCCGGAATGTCAGACATGGCCATAACAATGACACTGCCTATATTGCAGGCCCCTGGCAAAAGCCAGAGTGGGGCTTCAAATAACAAAAAATTACGTCCTAAGAAGGACGTAAATGAATAGAGTACCACTCTATCCTACTGAATAACACATGAGATCGGAGATACACAATGAAATATCCTACAACCAGGGTTTGATTTGGGTGTAAAATAATGTGCATGGGCCTCACATTTTGCAGGGGCCTACAAACGCTTCTATCAGAAATGCAACTTTCTTTTATCCAAACCCCGTTCAACCGTTAGGGATATTAGGGCTTGACCAAGCCGACGAGGCTTTAAAACAACAACCTCGAGGCCTTCCATAGCTGGGATTTGCTCAGTGACATGAACTACGGAGCTTATAAGGCTTAGTGTCTGATCTAGTCTGAATTACACACATCTTCTTCTTTATGGTGTAAGTAAGTAAGTAAATTGTATCCCACCAGGACATCCCACAAAGCGATAAACACCCGGCGACACAAAGTGCCACCATGCGGATGAGGATCACCTGTGGAGAGGTCACGGAAACCACGTTCAGCCGTTAGGTTATATTTACGGCCCCTGGCAACAGCCAGGGTGGGTCTTCCATATAACGAAAAATTGCATCCCACAAGGGGGGATGATAAAGATTTAAATGTATCTGACTGGTGTTCGCGATTAGAGCTTAAATGCTGCACCTTCTCTTTAATGTGTCTATTGTTCCTTGCATTCTCAGTGTCGTTTTGAGGCTTTTAACAACAGATCAACATCATGGCACACGGGTGTAACCCATAAGTGCTCTGTTCTCCAGTCTGTGTCTGAAAAAGTGCAGCAGGCTCTGTAGCAGTGGCGAGAATCCTAAAATACTTTAGGTAGATTTTTTTAACTCCAAATTTGGCCCGGGCAGCGGAGTTAGGCTACTCTTTTCTATTTCCAGCAGCTAAAAGATTTTTTACGTGCGCAACAATGCACGTCCGATCTCACTACCCAAAGCACAGGGGGAATTACTAAAAGTCCAACTGCACGTGAAAAAATCCCAGCCCTTACCGGGGATTGAAACCAGAACCTCTAGCACTCGAGGCGGACACCATGCCCCCGAGAACACGCAGTCCCCAGCGTCTTTTAAAGTCTCACAGTCACACCAGGTTCTGTAAATGTTTCTGATACTTAAAGATATCAGACGCGTAAATCCACTAAAAACTTTTTCCAGAAATAGAATTTACTATTCACACAATTATTTTGGATGACTCTGTATAGTGCATCCATCCGCGGCAGAGTTTACCACGTACTGCATCCATCCGCGGCAGAGTTCACCACGTACTGCATCCATCCGCGGCAGAGTTCACCACATACTGCATCCATCCGCGGCAGAGTTCACCACATATTGCAACCATCCGCGGCAGAGTTCACCACATACTGCATCCATCCGCGGCAGAGTTCACCACGTACTGCATCCAGTAACAAAGCAGTGTATGATTATATATACTGCATCCATCCGCGGAAGAGTTCACCATATACTGCATCCAGTAACAAAGCAGTGTGTGATTATATATACTGCATCCATCTGCGGCAGAGTTCACCACGTACTGCATCCAGTAACAAAGCAGTGTATGATTATATATACTGCATCCATCCGCGGAAGAGTTCACCACATATTGCATCCAGTAACAAAGCAGTGTATGATTATATACTACATTCATTCGCAGACAGACTGATCAGGACTGCGTCATTGGGTTGTCAATTGATGCATGACAAACTAAAGCTCGTCAGAGCCCTTTGGGTGAACGTGAACAATGCGGACGTGCGGATGGATCATTACTGTCTTGAGAGATACAGCAGGAGTCACCAGCGTCTCTAGGGGACACTACTAGTGCCGTCGGAAAATGGAACTCTTGCAATTTCAGCTGAAGATGGGCGACAGATCGCTTCTGAGAATGTCCCGAGTATTTTGATTTCCCTTCTTAACTCAGCTTAGCTCACTCCAATTCATTATTTCACACAGCCGTTTCTTGTGTGGGTTCTGAATCCCCCATTGTGGCGTGTGGGAGGGGGATATACCCTCTGTCTCCTGCAGCTCCAGCCAGCGTGTCGTTACATACGATTAATTCCTTGTGTTACCTTCGAAGTCGGAGTGCATTTTCCTTAAAGGCAGGGAAAGAAACTGTATACAAATAAACCAGATCAGTAAAACAGATGTGCATTGGATTGGCTTTTTACCCCACCAGGACATCACACAAGCGATCACCCCCCGATGAACAACGTGATGCGGGAATGAGGATCACCGTGGAAAGGGTCCCAGAAACCGAAAGAAGACCAAATGAGACCTGCCTATATTGTGGGCCAAAAAGCGGGGCTTCAAATAACAAAAAATAACGTCCTAAGAAGGACGTAAGGAATATCGTACAGATGGTGCATGGAGAAACTGAAACAAGACCAAAGTCCAGAAGTGGACGAATAACCAGAACTTTGCGCGGGAGTTTACAGACGGAGAACGCTAAAGAACAGGAAGACAGACATAGTTTCACAGAGACCCAGACGTGTGTGACCACATCTTGCAGCCACGTCTTACCTCTAACACCATCAACATATCCCTGTCTTGGAAGGGCAGCAGAATCGTAGACAATGCTGTCGACAATGCTGGGTCTCCGGCCATCAGAACCGGCCGGTACTCTGCTTCCGGGTGACTGGCTAACCTCTGCACCTG